GTTGGCATTCTCAGTTTGTTCTCTCCATTTCAAGCACTTTTTTTTGTTAAAACAGTGGTTACTTACCCAGATTTCTCATTTTCATTTCCTTCATCATAAGAATCCACATTGATCACTTCCCAACCCAGACAAGCTTTTAGATCATATTTTGCTTCCACCCTCTGAGCGTGGAGACAGTGGCTTTTGTTTGGGGAGCGACCTTCGAAACATCGTAAAAACCAAGTAATCTATGCAGTAAGTGACAGAAGGTTAGCACATGTCCTTCCTAGGAAATAGCAGATTCCCACTAAGTTAACCTGGGAGAACTGTGTGTTCTAGGTTTGAGCAAAAGCTATAATACACAGTTATAACTGAAAGGAAACAATTTAGAAAAAAACTGGTGGGAAGGCTTGCGATGTTCGTGGTGCTTTGGTCAATCAAAGCAGCTGCTTTTAGGCAGCTCCTGGATGGGCTGGGGTCAGGGGCTAGGAAATTTCACCTTGGTCAGAAGCACGTGGGGAGCTTTCAAAGCTTCACTCACTTTCCAAACTAAATCAGAACGCTGAGGCATATTTGTGGCAGTGGTGGAAAACCAGTGACTTACCAGATCTGTGTGAGTTGTAGACAGACCACCTTTAATATGGAAACCTACCATCCCACTGAGGGGGACAGAATAGTTATAAAAGTAACTCAAATTGTGACCAGAGCAGCTAGGCTGATAAATGAAAACCTCCAGTGCCTACTTCAGGGGTCCACTGAACTACGGGGGAGGGGAAGGGAGGATTCCCGCCCCCTCCCCCAGCAAGCTGCATGCATTATGTCTGTCTGCCCAAGAGTCAACTTTGATTTATCGAAAGATTGTTTCTCACAGATCCATCACTTCAGTGTTCTCTCCTCAATCAGAAAATGTTTCAATTATGACCTGCAAATTAAAAGGTGGCATTCTTAATTAAATCAATAACCTAATTGCTATAGGGTAGCAATTCAATTCCGGGGCTTGGCTTGCCCTGCCTTCCAAGCTGGTGCAGACACCCAGCAACTTCAGCCTGAGAGCGCGTCTGTCAGGCTGCAAAACTCCCAGCGTTTCTTTTCCATTAATTGATTTCCTCAGTGTCCACTAATATAGTATTAAATTCTCAAACAGGCTCTCAGACGGGGCGGTTTTATCTGCATAAATGCAAATAAAACAATAAACACAAAGCCCAGCTGATGTGAATTTTTACCTCCATAATCTTTAAATTATTCATCAACCACTCATGTTGAAAAATTCCGACCAGAATCCAAAGTAAAATAAGACATTGCACTGGTGAACACACTTTCTGGTGTGGTGGCTGATAACTGATAATGTAACAAATGGAACTGCTTGACTATATTTCGCCCCTTCCTCTGTTAACCACCCCTCTCCAGTCCCCCACCTCTAAATACACATAATGATCGCATTTGCCAACGAGATTAATTGCCTTCCTCAGTGAACCAGCAGGATTTCAAGTCTACGAATATTTAAAAATCAAACCTCCAGTGCAGGAGTTTTGCAATTTAAATGGGTGTGATTATTGAGCGCATTTTCACATTTACAAATCCTACGAGATGTATAAAAATGCTGGTCTCATTTAAAAGTACAGTTTAGAAAATGTTTGTGAAAATTCTGAGGGTGGCGGCGCGGCGTTTTCTGCTCCATGAAGCATTCAGCATGCTTGGATTGTGCAGCGCAGAGGGCTGGTTACCAGTGGTCACTTCCCCCTGATGCCCCAGTGGCAACTGCTGCCTGTGACCGATTGGATTCCAAAGCCAGGAGGCCGAGGGGAAGGCCAGCTAATGGGCAGTTTGGCCTCTGGAGTGCTCACGGGGAGGGGCCTCCCCCGTGGTGATCTGTTTGCTTTGCAGGGTTGTGTTTGGGTTTGGTTCCCGGCCTTGCCACCTTCCAGCTATGGCTCCGGGGCAAGTCACTGAACTATCTTGGTTTGCTCGGGTGTAGAAAGGATGGATTAGGCCCCAACTTAAGCTGGCTTGTCCAGTGATGTAGGTGAGAAAAAGGTGAAGATTCCTGCGAGCGATAAAGCACTATAGGATGTTATTACATAATGTGAAAAATAATCTGGTAAGGAGGAGGTACCTAGAATTTCGAATTAAGTGCCTGAAAATCGTCGGACAGGATTCATACTTTTCCCCAGAAGACGGAGGACACGCAAGGTGAGTGTATGGCAGTCCGAGTCCGCAGTGTAGCGGGCGTTAACGTGTGCAAAGCCTGTCTCCTCAAGTGCCCGGAGACCACGAGCAGCTAGAGAAAGACAAAAGGCGAGGCGGAGGGGACCGCGGTTGCTGGACAGTGTGCATCAGCCAGCCTCTCTCGTACCCAAGCAGCCAGGTCTTCCCTCTGTCTGGACGGCCAGAGACCTCCCCGCACTGGTAGCCCACACCCCTGGCCCCAGACTGGGAGTGCTCACACGGAGCTCCCAGCCCGCCGCTCTGGGAGACAGAGCTTGGGACTTGCGGTTCCGCGTTCTCCACAAATGTTGCACGTGGCGGACTGTTTACCCTCCTGGCCACCTACTTACCTATGTGTGTCGCGGAGCGTTAAGATACAGTCATTTCCTTAAGGAGGCTGTAGCTTCAGGGGGAGACAAGGGACACACACACACATACACACACACCCCACCGTCAGCTAGTGCCTTAAGCTGGAATCCTGGCGCTACCTTCACCTCCCTCTTCTTCCTCACACCTCTCCTTCCCCTGACCACACCCTCTCAGGCTGGCCGCCTCTTGGCTCTCGTATCACCAGCCCTTTTGCTGGAGCCTTAGTTTAGCCCTACCTGGAATGCTTCCCCGGACACCTCCTCTGTGAAGCCTTCTTTGGTTTCCCTACCCTGCCTCCCCAGAGTTGGCCATGCTCACCTTTGAGGCTATGGTGTGCAACTCTATCCCTTATAAAAGCACTTTTGTTTTCTGGCCTGGGATGCGCCAGCACACCACCCGACACACAGGAGGACCACAATAAACCCATAAAAAAGATCACCACCAACAAAAGGAAACATATGCCACGTACCTAACGATTACAGCAGACGGGACCCCCAGAGTTCAGGGAAGGCTCGCGGTAGCAGGGGGGCCTCATCTCAGGACGCCAGAGGAGGCGCTCATTTCTGCTTTCCCGTTGCCCCTCTCAGTCGTGCCATCCAGCCCCACCATGGCCTCCTCCACAAGCCTCCCCTCCAACTGCAGCAGCTCCTCCGGCATCTTCTCCTTCTCACCAGCCAACATGGTCTCAGCCGTGAAACAGAAGAGTGCTTTCGCGCCCGTCGTCAGACCCCAGACCTCCCCGCCTCCCACCTGCACCAGCACCAACGGGAACAGCCTGCAAGGTAAGCCCCGGACCCTGCCCCGACGCCCCGTCCCGGGGCCCGCCTGAGCAGCCCCGGTCTCCGTCCAGCTCGGCAGCTCTGCTCGGGCCCGGGACCTGCTCGAGAATCCTGTTTCCGCTCACTAATGCCATCGTTTCTCTTTTCTCCTCGCTCGTTCCCTGTGGTGGCCATGATCAGACCAGTCTTTTGAGGACTCTAGCAAGCTCTCCAGTGCAGGGTCCCTCCCGGCCTGGCCTTCTCCTGACGTAGGTCACTCAGCCTTCCCTTCCTGCTGCCTGTGTCAGCGTGAACGTGTGTGGGGCTGGTAACGGGGAGGGGCTGAGATGGCCCGACCAGAGCCCTGAGGTTACTGCAGCTCAGACCAAAGACCCAAGACTTCCTGCTGGGAACCAGAAACCCCGAAGTGCCACCAGAGGACTCTGGTTCATATTAAGAGTGTTTGATTTCATCCCCATCATGGAATAGGAAACTAACGGTCACCAAGAATTGAGGGGACCTTGCTATTCAAGGAGGAAAAAGAAAAACTCACCCTTTTAAGACGGGTCCATCTTCTGTGCTGGCCCTGTGTTGGGACGTTGACCTGTGTGGCCGCCTTCGTTCCCCGCAGCGGGACAGTGTGGGAGGCGCTCAGAGCCCCTGCTTTACAGATGAGAAAGGCAGAGGTTAGGGGCGTTGGGACATTGCTTGGCTTCCAACGTGGTGCGTGGCAGAGGCTGGCTTCAGACTCAGGCTCCAAATTCCATCTCGTCTTTCTCCCTCCAAGCACTTTATTAGTCAGAGGGGTAAACAGGATGCGCTCAGGACTCCTGAGGCAGCTGGTGGGGCAGACAGACCAGTAAAATCATCAGCGGCCCGCCCCTGGGCACTGACCAGTGCTCAGCCCCGAGCCTGCTCTGTCTCACTTAGTTGTCGCAACTTCCTGATGAAACGGGAGGGCAATCATGATCCCCACTGTACAGATGATAAAACTGAGGCACAGGGAGAGTCAGTACCTGCCCATAGGCATAGCCAGACTCAGTGGAGATGAATCCGAACCCCACAGGGTCTGTGCCCTAAGCCCCAGCCTACCCTGAGCCCCACGGAGCCTTCCTTTGGTGGCCAGCAGGCCCATCTTCACTGATGGGGGTCAGCTGTGGAGGCTTAGAGGGGTCAGGATGGCAGCCCTGTGTCTTACACCTCGATTTATACTCACATTCAAGGATTCTGTAAGTGGACACTTTACATGGATGTAAATTTACATCCATTCTCTCAAAGGCCCTATGGGGCCGGCACTATTCCCATTATACAGATGGGGAAATTAAGGCCCAGTTTGCCAGTAATGATGGAGCCAGCACTGAACCCAGTCTGTGTGTCTCCAGAACCTGAGCTCCTACTTCCTCTGCCTTTCTGACTCCTCACGGGCTCTGCAGAGCATTCCTCAAAAGCCTGCTGGCCAGTCTGCCCGGCATGGCCAAGGTCGGTGAAACATGCACTGGCAAAGCCATTGTTTTAGGGGGAAGAGGAAGATAATGGGCCTGTGTAACTACACCTCAGGCAGTTTCACTTGTGATAGGAAATGCCCACCCCACAAAGGGGACCCACCCATTCATGCCCGTCTAAGCTCTTTTTTCAGCTAAAAATAAGACTGTCACCCCCAGTACACCTCCAGCTGGCAAGTTAAGGATTGAAAGCTTAGCGAACGTAACTTAACAATGGGTTCAAATAAGGATAAAACATATGGAAAGGGGAAGTCAGTCTGCTGTTCTCAAGCTGCTAGTCCCAACCCTTGTTACACAGAGACCTGGCCTCAGGAGGGCGGTGGCACGGTGTGTGTGCTCAACTGCAGGGGTGGCGCAGCCGCTGTCTCGCTGGCCACCAGCGACCCCAGCGCGCAGCCCTTCGGCCAGGCCGAGTGTCCTTTCATGCCGTGTGCACCCAGGAAGGAGCAGGAAGGGACTGAAAACAGGGACTCAGCTCGGATTTTAGAACCTGCTAGCTCTAGGGAACATCTGGTGTAGCGGGGCGTGTGCGTGCGTGTGTGCACTTAAGTACCAGTGAAACGGCGTCAAGACAGGGACACATAGAAAGTTTGTGTCCTTGTCACCCCCAGGGCGTTTCTAACCCACGTCTGTGCAGATTCCCAAAGTACAGAGACCGCTCCCTCTTCTGTCTCCACCTCCCCATCGCGCGCCTACCACACAGCTGCTCGGCCTCGGGGTGTGACTCGGGGACACGCTTTGTGGGGTATTTGCTATTGTGGACGACACTGCCTTTTGTTTCTGGTTGAGCATGTGTCTTGGAGGTTCTTTCTGGTGGTTTTTGTCTTTCCAACACTGTCTCGTACACTGGGGAGGGGGCAGCGGAGGAGGCATGAGTAGAGATTTAAAGTCATGCGAACTGACACCATCTTCCTGGAAGCTGTCCTCCGTCCCGCGCGCTCCACCCCCACCCAGTGCACTCACTGGGCGCCCGCACGTCCGGGCTGTCCCCTGCCCTCTGCACGCGGTCCCTGCAGCCTTGGGTGCGGGGCAGCCTTGTCTTCAGGGAGCTCTTGCCTGGGGCCTTGGAGACGCCACTGAGAAAGATGACAGTGTGCTCCTAGACCTGTAAGCAAAGAATTACTTCATCTTTAGCTCTCTAAATCCCACGTCTATAAAAAAAAAATAGGACATCGATGGGTTAGAGAACTGAGGCTGAGGCTCTCCAAAGTGCCCTCTTCCTCCTGCTCCTTTCCATCGTTACAGCAACACCTGCTCCATTCGGACCCGCGTCTTCAGAGTTGTGATCATTAAGACAGGGCAAGTGATGGAGGAAGAGCCGGTTAAGCAAATTGACCATATAAACAAGATTGGAGGTGACACATTTAGGCTGTTTAAGTGTTTTAAAGGTCTATTTACCTCCAACTACCACTCTGCTAATTGTCCATCAGTCTTTTTTTTTCTTTTAAGCCACTCCTTAGAGGCCCTTCTCCCCAGCACTCTTTCTCAGCCTCCTCCGGTGACCCCCAAAATGCACGCACTGCAGGCTCATGTGATGGTGGTGACAAGGGCACAGCCACTGACACTGGAGGAGGCCTTACACCCCCAGCCTGGCTCCTGCTTTATCTCGTGTTCCTCCCAGCCACCCTGAGGTGCAGGCTGTTTGCTGCCCCATTTCACAGATGCAGAAACCGAGACAGAGCGAGGACAGCACACCCAGAGTTGCACAGCTAGCAGATGGGGGGAGCCTGGGGTTAAAACCCAGGTGGACAGGCTACTTGGTAAGCCCCTGTGCTAAACTGAATGGTCATACCCAAGCCACTGGGTTGGGCCTATGTGGACCAGGAAATCCTGACCTTAAAAGCTTTTCCTGTGTTCGAGGAAACATGACGCCACAGGAGAGAGGGCAGATCTGGCTGGGAGAGAATGGGTACCCCGCGGTGGAAGTTCTGAGGAGGGAAAGATTAGGAAGAATTCAGAACAGCTTCGTGGAGAAAGTTGCCTTTGAACTGGACCTTGGGTGAAGGGTGAGCGGGACTGGGACACAGGGAGACAGGGTGTGCACTTTAAGCAGAAGGAGTCAGGATGACCTGAGCCAAAGACTCACATGCGGTACGCAGTAAGCCGCCCAGCATCCCTGGGCACGGGCGCCAAGAAGCAGGGGTCAGGCTGAAGAGGGAAGTCCTCACCTGGGAGTCCTAAGCTCCGTTCTTTACATTTATTTTAAAATTCGGAGTTTCTGCTGCGATTCTGACTCATTCTCTCTCCCAGGTAGATAAAACCTCTGACAATTTACTGTACATCTGGGACATCTTCTAGGACAAGGCACTCTCTCTCAGCACTTCTGGAATCTCATAAGATGTTCTGTTGAAAAAAAAATAATAAAGAAAATGTTATGGTCACACAATCCCGGATGGCGGTGCTCACTGCACCCGTGTCTGAGAGCGCCATGGCGCCCATCGGTTTTATTAAAGGCTCTGAGACATCCTGAGCGTAAACAAAAGAGATTCCCATTTAGTTCTCTAAACTTACTTGCCCACAGAACCCTTTTCTGAACGTGAAGATCAGTGAAGATCCCGTGAAAAACTTTGGAAAAATGCAGGCGCGTGTTGGATTTAAAGAGAAAAACACAGAGAAATCTTCTTCCATCCTTAGTAGATAATGTCACTGATCCGTCCTGATCTTAGACTCCATAAGTGGGTCGGTTTTCAGAGGTCGGAGACTTGAGTCACCTCGCGTGCTCAGCTTTCGTCCTGGAGACATCCCTTCCCTTCTCCTAACACTGTGTCCCTACCGGGTGGATTCTGTGCAATTTCAGGCCTCAAAGGACTCCATTAATCAGGAGAGAGGCAGCCCCAAGAATCCTGTCACCAGGCCATCGGACCTGCCCCCGGGGTGGTGATTTTAAACCCTAACCATGTCCCAGACAATCTCTGCAGGGAAACATTACAACCAAAAGGACAGAATGATTTCACAAAAATTACAACCCACACAGTGATTGGTTTTTTTCCTTTCCCCACCTTCCTGAAGCTCAGGCTGGACGGCCCCACCAGCTCTTCAGAGTCTGGTAGCAAATCTCAGGGAACCATCTTTTGCCTGATGCACGTGTTCGGCTCGTGCAAACTCTCCTCCCCGCTCTGTTCCTGATTAGCGCGGCATTCTCACACAGGGTGGTTCGAGGAAGACCACACTCCTCCCTCTTGCTCCAAACTCCCCCAGCTCTGCAAAACTTTCTGTCCTGCCTTTGTTCTTATCAGACTGTGAAAACTGACCTGAAAAGCACGCTGCCTCCCAAGCCGGGAGTTTTCTGAGCTTCTGTCCGAGAACGTGCTCCTCCGGCTGCCAGGGAACTGGCAGGGCCACCTCGATCTTGTGACATCCTGGCCCACGCTGCTTTCAGAGACTGTCACGTCCTTGTGGAAATCTTCACGGGCCTCGCTTGGGCCAGTCTGTGTGCCAGTGACATTTCTGGAACATTCTAAGCTTCCAACACCCATCCCTCTCACCCACGTAAGCAATCTTGAGGATTGCGGCAGCTACACAAGGAAAACTGCTCTGACATGCCGGGAGCTTCCCTCTGGTCACGCAGGGAGGGTTCTGTGTTAAAAGGCCTCTTCAGAGGTGCCGAAGCTCAGAGGCCACGAATGGGGATCCTTTCCCAAAAGGACCCCAGGCCTGCATCTGGAGTTTAGGAAGTGACAGATGAGATTTGGGGAGCTGTAACCCCCTAATGTTATGGGCAAAATTCTGGGTGTCATACTTCTGGGCCTTCCTCTGGAGAGGGGTTCCCCAGCTTCCATGAGACCCTCAGAGAAGTCTGGGGGCTGGCGAAGGACAGAGAGGAAAGTGTGGGTGGACGCAGGCCACCCCTAGTCACTCTCAGATTTGTCTGTTTCTTTGGTTTTTTTTTTTTTTTTTTTGCTGTCATGTATAAACTGGGCTTTTTCATCTCTTAAAAAAAATCCGCCTCTCCACCTTCTCTGGAGGTGAGTGGGAAGATGGGTGGCTGGGAGCAGGCAGGGCTGCCCACCTCACAGGAGGCCGGCGTTGGCCGAGCCAGCCCCTCCCCGCCGAGGGCACCCTGCTCGCGTAGGATCCCCACCTGGGCCTCCAGGGGCTGGAGCTGGGACCCCATGTTCCAGCCTCAGACACGCCGTCGGTGCTGGGCTGGCAGTACGTCGGCGAGCTTTGCCCGGTAACTCGTAACGTGGCCTTCGTGGAGGTTAACTCTCATTGACCTAACACATCCTTCAGGTGCCAGGACGCTGCGTAGATGTCTTTTTAAAAAATTCTGATCATCTAGAATTAAAAAAAAAAAAAGACATGTTTTTAGGGCCCAACTGATAAACTTGGGCTGGGTCCACCGGCCGAATTAGCAAGAAGTTGGGCAGTTTCCTACTTTGCTTTGTAGCGTACTGATGCAGCCTGATAATGCAGGCTGTGCTACAGGGGACGGGCCTTTAACGCCCGGCACCTGGAGTAGATTTCGTTGGAAGAGGCACAAGGAGACACACTGCTGCTTCCAGAGGCTCAGAACTCCCACAGAAAGGCCTGCCTTTTGTGGAGGTGCCTGGACCCACCTCCAGCCTGGAGGAAAAGGTCCTTAGGGAGGCAGAGCCACGCTGAGCGGTCACCCTGCAGAGACACCACCCCTCCACCCCCTCGTCCTTGGAGCTACAGCGTCTTGAATTCTCAAGACTTAGACTGAAATGCTCAGCTCCCCATTTTCAGTCAAATCGAGGGCTCACTTGGATCTTAGGGGACTGCATTTCCAGCGCATCCCAAATCTTTGGGGGGTTACTTGGTCTGCATTTGGCAAGAGACACTTCCTGTTTCTAAGAAAAATGGCTTATGAGGGCTTACGAAAAAGACTCCAGGAGCTTTTGGACTGCAAAACGGCTCTTGCAAAACAACATTTGGATGATTTACGTGTAAATGAATCAGAAACATGTGGATTAAATTTCCTTGTGAATACAGATGGGTTTAAAAATTAACGGAAAAAGTGGCAAAATACTTTTTTTTTTTAATTGAATCTAAAATGTCAGGAGGTGGGGGAGGGGAAGCAGCAGGATGTGGGGCCCTGGGCGCAGAGCCTCACCTAGCCTCCCTGTGTCTGCTGCAGGATTTGAGGCAGCTGGGGCTGGCTTTAAAAACAAAACAAAACAAAACAAAAAACACACATTCTTGCAGACATGAGTTGGGAAATTTAGAGGGTCACTTCCCAGATGCAGTCACCACTGACAAGGACATTAATTTAAATTTAGAATTGCCAACAAAAAGAAAGCAGTGACTTTCTCTCCCTGCCTAAAGGGATGCTAAGCCATCACTGGGAGCCAAAGGTGGCTGCCTCCTGCTTCTCATGTAAGCATCACTCTCATCTGCACATCTTTCAGGGTTGCCACACTGTGTTCATTTTCCTGCACTCACCCCTTTGCTCCCCATCCCCACCATGTGAGGTGTTCGTATCAGATGGTGCCTGATTGATATGAGGAAACACACAGCCCAGAGAAGTTAAGCGGTTAGCACCAGGTCACACAGCTGATTTAGCAGCAGAAAGGATGGGTTAAAAATCACAGCAGCCCACCTCGATGAGGTCTTTACTAGGAGCCGATATGGGCTAAGCACTTCACATGTGTTATTTTAGTTAAATCTCCACCAACCCTCGCTACCACGGCCCTCACAAATCCCGACACACCGCATTTTCTAGCTGAGAAGACAGAGGCTTAAGGAGACAAGTAAGGACCTCTGGGGAACAGGCATAGTTAGCAGGCGGAAAAGCCGGAGGTGGATGCTGGCCGTCAGAGCCCGCGCTCTTCCCAATGCAACTGTGCGCGACACCCTGGATAAACACTTGGCAAGGTTTTTCATGATCCCATGCAGCCTTCTCTTTTCCTGGGCTCTCCCTTCAGCTTTCCTGAGCTCCAGTTTTCTAGAGACCTGGGGAGACAATTCCAGAAACCCTGAGTGAAGCAGTGGCACAGAGGACGTCTTGCCCCTGCGTCTCCATCCTTTCTCCCAACTGCACTTCCCCGGTGAACAATGCCTCCTGCAAGCACCTCCGTCTTCCGGGCGTGAGGACCGGCACTGAGGCACCCAGGTTGCTGCCCTGGTACTCAGTCCTCGTGCTAACCCAGAGCACACGGAGAGCCACGGCTTTTTGTAGAAGTAGCTGGCAGTTAGGGTGGGCCATTTTTTTACTTTATATTTTGGAAGTGAAAGGGAGGGAGGAAAAAAGAGTGACAAACTGAAAATTCTCACTGTTTTGCAAGCTTTGAGGCTGCAGTTTTCCCAGCAGTATTCAAACTATGTGACTTTCCAGTTTTGTTCTGAAATTGAAATCAGATTTGGAGGGACGGTTTTCTGTTCTGTTAAAGACACATACACAGGCTGATATATTATCATTCTTAGTAAAGTACATGTATATTTCATAACAAAAACTCATTCCAGGCAAGATGAGAGCGCACATTTGCGGCCAGTAGGCAACCAGCATAGCGGTGTGTGGGTGTTTTTTTTCCATCCTTTTTTTTTTTTTTCCCCTCCTCTCTCTCGCTCAGTGAGAAGTTTGGACGCAGAACGATTGACTCTTGTCTTCTCTTTCCACAGCGATATCTGGCATGATTGTTCCTCCCATGTGAAAGAATTGCCTTGAAGAATTTTATTAATGAAGAGGTTGGATTCTGCTACAGAGAGTAATCTGATACAAGTCCCAGAGTGGAACTTTTAACTCAGGCCTTTTTAAGAGGAATCACAATAACTGCAGATTTTTAAACAAACAATATCACCGACCTTGCAGATACTGAAATTGGAAGGGGTCTGCGAACGCAGGGTGTTGGTTACAGTTGTACCTCCCAAGTCCTTGGGGATATATTTATTCTGTGTTGATAAAAGCAAATCCACTTTTTCTTTCTTTTTTTTTTTTTAAGCTTAACTCTGCAATCATTTGTCTTTTATAAACCATAAAGCTGTATACAAGGGACACTATAAATAAGACTCCACATTTTAATTTATGATGTTTTTAAAGCTGTGTAAAAGGAGAATGAAGTGGTGATATTTACAAAAAAGGTAAAAAAAAAAAAAAGCAAAAAAAAGCAAAAAAAAAAAAAGCTTGTATGGGACAGAATAGGAATGCCAGTTAGATTTTTTAGAAAACTAAGGGTCGGCTTTTGCGCCTTAAAGCATATCAAACGGTAGTTACTCGGACAGTGCATTTCCAATATCTAACTTAACATGCCATCCCTTAGCAGTGCAAGCTTATTTATCTCTTTTGTATTGTTGTCTTAAGTAACTGTGTAAATAAATGCAGCCTGGAAAGTTAAAAAGTGATGTAAGTGATCAAATTTTTCCCCTTCTACTCAAAAACCCAGTGCCTCTAGATAGATGTTAAAATTGCATATTTAAACCTGATTATCACGCTCTCTTTTGCTTGTGTCAACTTCCTCTGAAGCTGATGGCCTCTCGAGACCTGGTTGGCACCCAGACTGTGTGAGCACCTCCTTGGAGACTCCATGGGACAGTGTCAGGCACAGGGTTCCACGATGCACCCTCCAAGTGGCAAACGCCAAAAGCCCACTTAACACTCCGCCATCTCCACGTTTCACGTTTACTCATCTTAAATGCTGACTTCACACCAACACTCCAAAAGCTGACAAAAGCTACACGGCAGATCTTTCAGATTTCCTATTCCAGACAGCGCCTCTATCAGTCGACCCTTATCATTTGTAACTTCGTAGCTTAAAACGACAGATTAAGGGTTTTGGAAATAAGAGTAAAAGGAAACCGGGAGAAAGGAGCAGAAAGTTGAGACTTCCAAACATAGTTTTCTGTTCGATGGGAATTTTTGCTTTCATTATCTGGGAAGGGTTCTTAAAAATAGGAATTAGTAGCAGAGATGCCGTAAAGCTCTGAGGATGCATCTGCCCGATACTTCTTTTCTTTGCTGTTGTGTTTTTGTATGTAGTTATAAATACTGTAGATTTTTGTGATTTTTTGCCAAAGTTGTTGTTCTATTTATACATTTTAATGTCTTAAGACAGTTTTTCAATATCACACAAAAGATTTTACTGCATATTTTGCAAAGAAAAAAAGCTCACTACCTTTAGCTTGCACATACTTGCGAAGTTAATTAAAAGGCTTTTTGTTTTAAAGGGGATTTTGTAAGATATCCATATAAATAATGTATTTATCTTTGGAATTTGTACATTGCTTTCCCCTTCTTCCTCTTCCTCCGGCCCCCAGTTTATTTGATTGTGTACGTTTGCTATGTGAAAAGTGCGGATTGGTTTGGTCTCCTATAGTTGTACTTGCTGTTTCAATGTGATTTTTAAACATTTCATTTATAGTTATTTTTAGTATTGTTTTAAACCATGCTTCAATTTTTTTTTAATTTTCACCCAAAAGCCATTGTCTATTTTTGTATTATTTGTAAGTTAAGAAGTTTTTTCCAATATATGGCAAAAAAAAAATAGTAGCATATTATTCTTGTAGCGTTTAGTTCTGTAGATTAAAAAAAAATGTATCCTTTGCTTTGGAAGCTTACAGAAAAAAAACCCTAATGCTGTTTTACTCTATTAATATGCATGGAACCTCTCCCTTTGGAGTGACGCATTTTGCGCATTAAATTCTGGGGAGAAACTTCATAGAAATCAGTGAACATACTTTCTTTCCTAAGTCTGCTTGTATATTTCCTCTGTCTTTCACATAAATATAAACCAGCAGATTGGATGCCTTAACAATGCAAATCATATTCGTTTCACTTGTACATTGTAACTGTGCACCAGAACTGTCAGTCATCACTAACATTCTAAGAAAAAAGAAAAAGAAAAAAGAAAAAAAAAAAGAAATCGAAAAGCACAAAAGAACTGTTTTGTTACCTTAAGACAATGTAACTTTTTCTAGTAGAGCAAGAAATTTACAACAATGCTGCAACTGTGCATGCCCCCATATGGACTTTGCAATGGTTTTCACTAGACTGTCAGAGTGCGATTTTTATGGGTTGGGGCGGGTGGGGGAGGGGTGTTGCGGGAGGGAAGGGCGGGGAGGAAAGCTGATTTTTCTTGGTGAGAAATAATAATAATGATTAATAATAATAATAAAACTGGAAAATGTAAGCAAGGTGGACGCGTTGCTTCTCGGTACTCAGAAAGGTTGTCTGAATTGGTGTGGTAAGTGCTGGCCTGAAGATGTGTACAATTTAAAGCCATATTTTGTCTGGTGAGCCCCTTAACCGTTTGTGAAGGACCGGTCAGCCCGTGAGGTGTCCGGCTCAGACCCTGACAACAAACGCCACCCATTGTCAGCCATGTGTAGTGGTTAGAACTTTTCTTGAAAGTCCAAAGAGCCTTTAAAATGTGCATACTAATTTGTGTTTCATTGCCTCTATTTATCCCGATTAGATGAAAAGACGTTCTGACCCTCTGACCCTCTTTCTTCAACACAAAACTTTTACAAGTAAAAAAATTGTTCCCCTGAATACAGAATATGGCTTTAAGAAGAAAGTGAAATAAGAGAATTAAATTAAGATATCAGTTTTGGGGGAAAAATACAGCTTCTGGATGACTGGATTGCATAACCTGCCCTGGCCTCACATTGTACTAGGATGCAGCTTAACGAAGTCATCTCTAAATCTAACCTTTCACCTTCTTATCAAACTTTTGGAATCGACACACACTGTACAGTTCAATTGTTAGAGAACCTAACTACTGTAGAGATTGTTATAATTTTTTTTTTTGCAAAAATTCAAGCTGTAAAAACTTTTCAACTTTCACAATATTTAATTAAAGTTACTTCCTGTCTGTGATTGCAGCTCCTGGTTGTGTATTCATTTCTCTGTTTCGGATGAGCCCAAGTCCAACGTAATGTAAAAGGTCTGTGGTTCCAATTACTCAGACCACTGTTGACACCGAGAGAAACGCAGTCAGGGTGGTCCTGGGACACCCACTTTCCCTCTTGGTCAGTCCTTGGGGATTTGCTAATCTGGGATGCAAATTGAACACGCACAGCGTACTGCTGCCCTCTGCTGGTAGCAGCTGGACACGCAGTGCCCATACTGGCCCAAGGAGGAGCCAAGAGCCCCAACGATTTCACCAGGCAAGCGATGAGATCCCCCTGAAGGGACTGAATTGTGAATCCAGGCTCTGGCCACTCGGAAAGCCATCCTCCGCGCTGCAAGTCTGAACCAAGCTCTTCACACACAGCTGCTAATTAATCCCAGTGAGCCTTCTGGTCAATTAATTACGTGCCCTGGCTCACTGATGACGAGGAACACGTGTGAACACAGAACCTTCCATGATCTATAGTTTTAAATCCCATGTGGATACACTTTTTCCTGTCAGATAAAACCAAGTGTATCTGGAGTCAAACATGCCACAAACACCCAATAGATACACCCTCCCGGTGAAACTGTTTCACTTTAAATTCCATCATCGTCGTAAGTCTTTCCAGTTGCACATCCAATGGTTTCCCTACTTTTGCAATTACTAGACATGATAAGGTTAATGACGCTTGTAAAATGCCTTGAAAACTCAGCAAATAGGCCACAGACCAACGGAAACCTGATGACCACAGCTAACAGGGTGCCATACAACCACCATCACGATCATTCGTGGTGTGCATCACTGATACACTTTTGCTCTGGAATAGAGCCCAATCTGAGGTAATTAAAGGGTGCAGCAAATAAGTTAATAGGTAGAGAAGCTATCAACCTTTTCTTGAGAAGAAACCTGTGATTAGCTTGGTCATTCAATATACAGTTTTGCAATTCTGTATTAGGTACAGGTCTCTCTGTATCAGATGCAGAAGGAAAAAAAAAATGAAGACGAGGCTCCTGCCCTCAGGATGCTCACAATCTCAGACAAGACAAATCTATACCCAAAGGAGTCTAGAAAGTCTAGGGCTAGCCAGTCATGTCACAATGCTCCACAGAGTAAAACGGACATCTTCACATCTACACACTGGTTTCTACTTTCATTAAGACCTCTTTCCTGGAAGCATTCATTCATCATCCATTCACATAAGCCTTGAGGGTTTATGTATGGATCTGGCGCAGGGCAGGTGTGGCAAATCCCCTGGCAAGCGCAGCCACACTGGTCCTGCCCTCAGAGGGTGTACAGTCGAGTGAGGAAGGCGGACATTAAGCAACCATACAAATCTGTACTAACAAACCAAGAAAAAAGTCAAGAATGTTCCAAAAGTATATTACAGTGGGATCTGATCCAACCTGAAGGGTTGGGGAAGGTTTCCAGAGAAGGTGACCCTTAGCTGAGATGTGAAGGACGAGGTACGCGGGGGGGGGGGCACACGAGCAGAGGGAACGAGGGCAGGTGTAAGACTCTGAGCTTTGGGGCTGGACATGGCGCATTCAAGAACAGAAAGGCGGTGTGCGTAGACCATGCAGATGTGCCAGGTGGCACCGCGCAGCTTGGGAAGGTCAATTCAGAACACGTCCCGACACCTATTCTGTGCCTGGCACTGGACTAGGTGCGAGGATGCACTAGGCAAACCAGGCGTCGGTCCAGCCCTTGGTGCCTAAAGCCCAGCTCACACAGAAGCTCACTGCCCCGCGTCCACCCACAGGGGCCGTGCTGGTGAAACGCGAAGCCAGGGCAGCTGGGGTGAAACAGACAAGCAGCACCTTGCCGGCTGCACTCAAGTCATTCTCAGGAGGGAATATGGCCCCCGTGATGCTCAGCTTTCATTTTCTCAAGAGGGAGAGGGAGGGAATGCTAGATATATTATCAAATTTTTTTTTGGTGCAAAATTTCATTTTTAAAATGTCATCTAATCCAAAAATAGTACTTTCAAAACACTGCATTGGGGGAAAAAACAGTTCACGAGCCACTAAGAATGTCAGTTTGGGACTTCTGGCCAAATGACGAGTTACTGAAGGAGATGTTCACACAGCCTGATTTGAGGGTCCCACTGCTATGTGCTGGCCGTGGGGATCGAGGAGCCTGCAAAGAAGGGTGGGCCTGAGTGGTGCAAATAGACACTCTCCGGGCAGATAAAGGCAAGGAGTGCGTGGAAGGCCCTGCTCAACGCCTTTGGAGCTGGTTCTGTCAGAAAAAAAATAAAATGAATCAAAAGGAACAGGAATATGGGAAAATGGAATACACAGTTGTGAAAAAATTCCCTGTATGCTACAGTAGCCATGTTCAATGGGAAATATATTGATCAGCTTTTTTTTTAAATATCCTTTTGCTTTGCCAAAACACTCTCATGAGCAAGTTCATTTTTAAACAGACTTTCAGAGAGGTAAACTTCTTCCAGCACACCACGCTCCTGGCCGTGTCGCCCGGCAGGCTCCACATCGCTCACATCCTCGGTGTTGCTCTTGGCATTACCATCCTCTCTGACATCAGTCTCTCCTCCCTCAATATTACTTTCTGATCAGCCTACACACATTATCCCGTCTTAAAGAAAAAGGCAAAACGACTTTGACCTCATTTTGCTCTCAGTCTGCCCACCGTCTTTCTGCTCTGCTTTATAGCAAGTCCGCTCTAAGGAGCTGCCCGGTCTGTCTTTTCCTCTTCATCTCTATTCTCTTGTTATACGTACAATAGGTGTTTCCTGGAATGACGAACAGTGGGGCGTCTTACAGATTGTAAACAAGGGATCAAACGTGTATTTTAGGCGTATCCTGGTAGCTACATAGAGAATGAACTGGAGAGAGGCAGAGAGAACAATTAGAAGCCATTGCAATGGGCGAGGCAAGAAATGAATGAGAAACGAACACCTTGGACCAGAAGAATGGCAAGGAAGGACACGGGCAGAATTAGGCATATTTAGTACTGTGATTATAGTCAACAACACTGTGCTGTACCCTTCAAAGCTGCTAAGAGGCTAGGTCTTAAATATTCTCACTACAAAATGAAGTCATAATTACGGGAGGTGATGGAGGTGTTCGCTAATGCTAGGGTGGTACTCATGTTGCAACTAACATGGACACCCGAAACTTACACAATGTTAGGTCAATTACAGCCCAACAAAAAATATTTAGGGGCAGACCACCAGGATTTGGTGATTGATGCAATGTGGGGATTGAAGAAGAGGGAAAAAAATCAAGATAAAACTCAGTTTTCTGACTGGGGCTCCGACTAGTAAAGAAATGGTTGATTTCTCTCTTTGGGCTGTTTCCCTGCTACTAAGCTATGGAGCTTGATGGTGAAATCTCTTCCTCCTGTTTCCTCTGCTTTCCTTCCCTCTTCCAAGTCTGATCCTCTTCTCCAGAGGCTTCTATAATTACATTAGAATGAAATTCAGTTTCCGGAACTAGAAATATTTTGCTGCCTTTTTTTTTTTTTTAAACTTAAGCATCAAGCAGTTTTATCTCTTCTCTCTGGAGAGTTATGCTACAGTGGGACTGATTTTTATCTACTCCGCATACTTTTTTCCCACTGATTGTAGAATTTCCACATTCTATATTAAGAACGAACGTTCTGAGCCCTGGAGTGAACCACAGGACCGAAAGCCGGCTTTCTGAAGGACACGTCTCACACAGGCAATTAGGCTATGAGGAGAATCCAGTCCTCCGCCAAGGAGTCAACAGAAAGGAGGGGGCCCCACTGAAGGTGGCTCATTCCGTAACATAGATTTGGGTGGAATCAGAATCAGGAGAGTAGTGGCCATAAAATCAGGGACGGTAAGAAGAAATGAACTAGAACCAAGCAACAGCCATTCCTTCTCTAACTCCTCTGTCTCTTCAAGGTCCTATTCTTACCAAGGGCCTCCTCTGTGTCAAGCATTGTGCTGAGGCCCGGGGACTTGATTGTCTTAAACAGACCCATTTCCTCCCCCATTCCCACCTAGGGACGACACAGGATTGACTCAACCAACCATACAAGCATCATTTCACTGTCATAAATGCTGCTGTAACCCTAATGCATCTGAGCGAGCATGAGGCTCCAACTTTGCACACATTCAAAACTACTTCAACACCCACATTTAATTATAAAGAAACAGACTCCTTGTTAATAATGTTCCTTGTTAATAATGTTTGACCTGTTATATTTTGAGGGGCAAGAACAGGGAGCCTTGAGTACATACAGCAAGATGCATGGATCCGCCCACGTTTGAGACAAGACCTGGAGGAGCAGGAGTTAGCGGGGCAAAGCTGCGGGGTGGGGTGGGTGGAGAGATCACTCCAAATGGAAGCAACGGGCCACCCAGAGCGGAGGACTGGTGCCCTTCGAGGCTTGCTCACAAAATGCTCCTCCTCCTCAGCTCACTCCTCTGTCATGTCCTTTTTCTCTGCCTTCTCTTCTGCTAAACCTCCACCCTTCCTCCTGCCTGCCCTACGAATTCACTGCGTGGGATTCTGGGGATGTGGCCAGCTTTCCCTTAATCCTGTAAAAGCAGCTGCAACCAGATGAAAGGTTATGTGTCCCCATGTTGCTCTTTAGAATTTGCAGGTAGACATTCCTACCCTACATTTCAAGCCCTCGAAGAAACCACCACAGCCCAAAGTGCTCAACTGAGAAGGCCCCCACGGAGCTCCCATTTTCCCCCCACAAGCACGGAATACCATGGCAACCCTCTTGTCCAGGAAATCAGGGAGATGGTATTAATGGCACCTGGCATTCTCTTGCAGGGGACCCACTTTCACAGAAGTGATATTCTATTAACCTGATAGAAATGTGTTTGTTCAGTTCTCACAATGGTCATGACACAGGGGTGTAATGATCTTCAACTGAAAATGGAATGCTCACCTACTTTGTATGAGGACAGAGGGTCCCCACTGGACCTTGAAGGCCATTGTTTAAGACATGCAGACACAAGAAGTTAGCGTATCTATGGGATGAA